CATCCGTCTTCGCTCCAAGAAGATCGCCAGGAGGTGAGGCGCACGGGGGAAGTCACCAGCCGGGCCAAAAATCCGGTTACGGGACCTGGCACGTGCCCTGACCCCGGGCGGAGGTCCCCGCTTCCTGAGCCTCGCCTTCCCCGGGCATGAGAGGGACGGCCTCGCCCTTTCTCCTCGGTCCACCTCGCGTTGTGTTCGCTGTGAAGAGGCGGGTCTGACAGCGAGCTCTGGGCCTGATAAGTCTTTTAGGACGAGGAAGACCCGCTCCGGAACACGTTCCTCCGCGGCTCGTTTGTAGAGCAAAAACTACATTGCCCAGAAGGCTGTGCACCGGGCGTCCTCTCAGGTGGGGGCGGGGCTTCCGGTCTCCTGGTGGAGGGCGTCACTCGTGTGCGACGGTTCCGTCCACGCCAGCTGCGGGGAGGGGACCGCTGTTCTGTGACCCGCCTCCAGTGAAGCTCTTGGAAAAAAGAGCTGAAAGAAGGCTCCCCCCTCACCTCCGCGCCTTTGAAGGAGCCGTGAGCCACCCGGTGACCGGGGAGTGCGAAAGTCAGGCGAGGTCACCCCTCCCGGAGCAGGGGAGGGGTGGCGGTCGGCCGAGCCCGCGGGACTCGCCTGGGTCGCTGCCTCTCCAGGCCCCGCTCTGAGCACAGGGTCCCATGATGGCGGCGGCGTGGATGGACCCTGCGCAGGTGAGTGGACGATGTTTTGGGCATCGCTGCCTCTCTGCTGCGGAGAGGGCTGCTGGGCAGGCTGGAAGTCGAGAGAGGTGCTCGATTTCTCTTTGAGGTGTGTTTGTGTAAGACGAGTGGAGAAGGCTTGTCGCTTTCTTGATCTCCAGTCTTAGAACAGATTATACAGAGAGAGACTGAGTATACAGATGATCTGACAATTGGCAGACCGTATTTAAAAGTAGAACTCTGACCCGAAGCTTGGAGCTACCTGCCCAGGAAACTAATCCCGTATCTACGGTTAGCAACCCGGGAAACCAATCCGCTCTGTCCCATTTGGCCGGAAGCCAGATTACTAGCTCTGGTGACAGTCCAGGAAGCTCAACAGTGACTTCTCTAAGAGTCGGCCCCAAATAGCCAGGATTTGTTTAATAACTGATCCTCCCTAATTTCCCCCCCATTTTCAACATAAGACTGATCAGAAAAAACCTATATCTGCACCCCTAACCAATCATATACGATGCTAGGTGAGTGCATGTCAGAGAGTTTTCATAATTTAGACATATATCACCTGGTGGCCAATGTGGAGGCCCTAGTTGACTTTTCTGTGTTTATCTATCTGCCCAAAATGTGCCTGGTGATGTGAGTTTATCCAGCACCAGAACTGAGTAATATTGCAGGGTTCCTAAAACTAAACTAAACCAGTTAGTTTATTAGGAATTTCCAGGTGTTTAATTAAAATACTAACTTGAGAGCCCTGATAGAGGGGACAAAGCTAGAAAGCACAGAGATGTGGGCACTGCAAGTGCACATGAAAAACCATGAGCCAGTGACTTGGAGCATTTAAATGACAGATCTGCTGGGGCGCCTGGGTGGCTCAGTTGGTTAAGCGACTGCCTTCGGCTCAGGTCATGATCCTGGAGTCTCCGGATCGAGTCCCGCATCGGGCTCCCGGCTCGTCGGGGAGCCTGCTTCTCCCTCTGACTCTCCCCTGTCTCATATGCTCTCTCTCTCTCATTCTCTCTCTCATAAATAAATAAAAATCTTAAAAAAAAATAAATAAATGACAGATCTGCAGTAGTGGGGCTGTCTGTCGGAGAGTGGAGTAGCTGAGTTACTTATATTTAATTAGTGGGTTTGGTCACGTGCAGGGATGTGGTCCTGCATGTGTTGGACATTTCACATTGAGGAAACCATAGAATATGGTGAAGGGAGTAACGTTAACAAGGCAAACTCCATAATGAAGTGTTTTTTTAAGTCAAAAGACAACATTAGTGGAAACTTAAGATGACTTAAGAACTGGGGACTTACAGTCCCTCTCACCAGGATGTGAAGCCCTCAGCATGGGGCAGGCAGCTAGCAGGACCAGTGAGGCTCAGGTAC